CGCCGAGTCCGCGGGCCCGGGCCGGGCGAGCGCTGACCTGCCCCGTCTTTGCACAAGGCGCCTGTGTGTGGCGGAGCCGTGAGCGGCGAAGCGACAGCCCCTGCCTGCTGCCCGGAGAATCAAGAGTGCGGGCCGGACCTTCGCGAACACCCCGAGGCGGCGAGGAGCCCGACCGCGAGCACACACCATGGCGCTGAAACGGATTAATAAGGTACCGCGGGGGCGCGCGGGCAGGGCCGCGCCGGGAGGGCCCCGGGAGGGAGGGGGCGCTGGGGAAACGTTCCTCCGGGCCGGAGCCGGGCCGCTGCTCTCTATCTGGGCCCCCCCACCCCCACCCCGCCGGCTCTCTCTTTTCTCTTCCCGGAGGGGCTGGGGGGCTCATCTCTCTCTTCTGCCCTCCTCTTTTCTCCCAGGCCCTAATTGACCCACTTTCCCACACCCCCTTTTTCCTCCGTGCCTTCCAGTTTCTTCTACCGCTTTGTAACTTTCTCTTCAGTTGTTCTGTTTCTTTCTGTCCCCCTCTGTCTCGCTTCTCACTACCTCGATCATTTTAGTTGAGCTTATTTCTGGCAGACCCCCTTTGTAGTTTAAAAAATTCGCACGGTTATTTACACTAGTGGAAAGTCATGCTATTCATTTCTTTTTAAAGAACGCTCATGTTCTTCCTCTGTCTGGATCCTCAAAACGTTGCCTCTGCGTCAGTGGCCTTTGTCTCTGACGCTGGACTCCGCTTTGCCTAAGGAAGCCACGTTCCCGTGTGCGGTGGATGTGAGAACACAAAACGTTACCCGCAATCAATTCCCCGTTTTCTCAGCCTCCCGGTAGCCGCCACCCACCCGCGGCCCGTCTCTCGGGAGGGTTACACCTTCGCTGGCCGCCCGCTGGGGCAAGCAGCTGCCGGCTCCTTTTGCTTTAGAACTTACTGAAATAAAACCAGCAGAAACGTCAACACACTGACCTGGCCTTAAGGTGACCTCAAACTGCGCATCCGCGGGCACAATAACAACCGCGGGTCTCTGGTCTGGGGTCCTGGAGGGGCAGGCGCACTGGGGGAGGGGGCCGAGGTCCTGGCGCGGTCCTCCGTGTTGGGCTTGAGAACTTTTATTTTGCCCCTTTCGGGGGAAACGTGATTTTAATTTTGCTGTTAAAGAAAATGAGTCTGGGCGAAGGGATATGTCTGTGCACACTCGGGTTGGTGTTCCGCGGTCTTCTGCGCCTCCTCTTTCTGACTTCTTATCCCGGGGCCCTGGCGGGCGACTCTAGGGGAGTTAGCGGGGGTGATTGGCGGCTCACCGGGCCGGCCATTGATGACTGCGGGGTTCTAATCTCCAGGAAACACCAGGGGCTGCCGTGGCCATTTAGGGATAATTATCCAAGCGCAGAGGGACAGCGAATTCCCTCGCCTTTTAACTGGGTGCAATAAAAACTGTAGATTAGGGGTGTCCAGATTAAGGAAAATGAATTACTAGAGCGGCAACTTTATGACCAGGATGGCGTCCGGGGTCTGGTGGGCGGGAGGGGTCGGGCTGGGGCTGCCGGAGTCATCTGCAGGTTCACATGTGTCCACAGGCTGGTGAGATAGGTGAAGGCCTCTGAAAGGCGTCCGGAGCACTGGTCTCTGTGACATTTACACGGCCTCTCCAGATTCTGAGGCACCCATGACTGCTACTCAAGCCTACCACAGGGCATGGGCCCTCTAGCTCCAGGCGGGCTCAGCTGGAGGCCTCCCCCCCCCAGGCCAGGCCAGCCTTGAAAGCACTGTACCCCTGGGGGGTGGGGAGCAGGACCCACAGTCCTTCGTGGCAGGGACATTGAGACCCGGAGTCTTGCCTGGGGTAAAAGAATAAAAGGTGAAGAGTCCCCGTTTTGCAGCTGAGCAGTGGAAGCTCAGCGAGCATAGGCCGATGCTTTGCCAGCTGTCCATCGGGGTCAGCCCTGTCTTTCTAATTACACTACCCAGAACCGGTTCCTCAGCACCCAACGGGGAGGGCACTTTGCCCTCGGGGGAAGCGGAGAGGAAGCGGAGGTCCCTGGGCTTCAAAGTTGGTTTTAAAAGTCCAGTAGGAGTCTCTGGAGCCGGGCTGGCTTTGTTTCGCCCCGGTTTCCCATCTCAAAATGCTTGGCTCCCAGACCACCTTGAGCAACCGATTAACTTAATAACTTCCTCCCTAGAAAAATGTACATCAGCAAAAAAAAAAGGGCTTGGGACCCACTTGGAGGCTGCCGGGCAGAACCCCTGCGAACCGGCATTGGAACGAACCCCTGCGGTTAGCCGTCCAGCGCAGCCGGGTATCCGGACTGTCCAGGGCCCGCGCAGCTAGGCCGGGTTACGGCGGGGCCGGCGGCCGGCGGCGGGAGAAGGGCCGCGTCGCTAATTGCGGGATAAACAATCTGTCACGATCCCTCAGCGCCTAATAGGCGGCCGAGGATGCTGTTTTTAGGCGCCAGAGGCGGCCCGATCAAAGGCTGCAGCCGGCGCAGGGGCCTTGAAGTCGCGCCCCCGCCTCCAGGGAGCGAGCGGCGCTGCGGCTGCCCCAGCCCTGCAGCCCGCCCCCTGGGCTTCGCGAGCCGGTCCCGAACCGCGTGGCGTCTCTCTAGGTTCGGCCTGAGTTCGTGACTGCTCTCCCCCGGCGCGGCGAGTGAGCCAGGCGCGCGCGTGGCCGGCGAGAGGGGAGTGCGGAGGGCGAGGCGGCGGGATCGCCTGCACCGGGAACCGGCGCTGGGGACGCCGAGGGCTCTTCTGCCTCCGGGCTGCGGGGCTGTGGGGCGGGGGGAGATGCCTGAGGTCTCAGACTGGGAGTTAGAAAGGAAACAAAGTGTGTGTCTCGGGGCGCGCTGGTCCCGCGGGGGAAAGGCGCACGGACGGCGGCAGCGACGGGGAGTTTCTCCGCGTTTGTTTCTGTCTGGAGCCTTTTAGGATGTCCGGGGCGGTGGGTCCCGAGTGCTCGCAGGGCCCAGGGCTGCCTGTTATCTCGCCGCCAGCGCCAGCCCCCAGGCGCTTCTAACCCGGCGCTCGCGCGCCGCGCCGGATCGCCGGGCTGTAATTCACGCCTGGCAAGGGCAGGGGTGGCCCGCAGGAGATAACGCGGCGGGACTGGCGCTCCGCTGCCGTCCTCACTCGCGCTGCCCCTCCCCTCCTGCTGGCGGCCGCTCCCCCTTCCCGGGCAGCCAGAAGCCCCCCAGCTTCCCAGCAGCCCTGGGGTTCGGCTCCCCGAGGAGGGCCGCCCTGCGCCTCCTGCCTGGACGACTAGACTGGCGGCTCCCGCTTGTTTTTCCCAAAAGCCGTCTATTTCACGCAAAAAGGTGGCGTTTTTAGCGTGCCCCCCCGTGAGCAGAGATTCGTTTCTGAGGGGCCCCGCTTACAGAGCGCTGCCCCGACTGGTGTGGCCGCCCCGCACCTCGGCACTGGCTGTTGGCTCGTCCAGTTTTTGTTTCTGCCCCTCCCCCGCTTTCCAACGCGTTTTGTGGCCTCGACCCAGGAATCCCGCGTGCATTTTAAAAAACGCGCAGCTCAGTGGGATCCCCCGGCAATTAGCGAGCTCCAAACAGTCCTCTTTAATAGAATGAATGTGCTATGAAAACCGATTACCCGGAACGATTTATTTTGGTGGGAATTCACCAATCTCCAGGAGGGCGGAGAGGGGGGGAGGAGGTATTTTGTCCTGGGGGGAGGGGGCTTGACTGGTAAACAGAAAGCACGACCTCGGGACCCCCCAACTGCGGGGGGGGGGCTCCTGCTCCTGCGTTCTCAGCCTTTTGGTCTCTGTCGCCAAAAAGTGAAAGGGGGAGGGTGTCAGAGGACTGGAAAACTGTCTGGAGAAAACGGTCCGCTTCCCAGGGAAAAACTTGGAAGAGCTGAGGGCGCCGGGGCCCCTTGGGCTGCTGCGGCTGGCGTCCGCAGCACGGATGGGGCGCAAACTGGCTTTCTGTTGCCCGGCCCTGGGCAGATCTTAAGCGTTGGAAGAATTTTAGTGTCCTTTACACGAACACAAAAACAAAGCAGCCAACCCAAAAGCCTATGTGTAAAGAACGCGTTCTGCTGGCTAATTCCTGCGCCGGGCGGCCCAGCGTGCCTGCCGGGTGGAGCTGCGCGGGGCGCGGTGGATTTCACCGGCGCCAGGAGAAAGCGACTGGCCGCGCTCCCCGCCCCTCCCGCCCCTCCCCCACGGCTCCTTTCCCCTCTCCGGCCGGGGCTTCCCTGTGTCTTTAAATTGGGAAGGGGACGAGGGGGCCGGGATCCGCGGGAGAGAACGCCCCCTCCCCCAAATGGCCCAAATTAATGTGATCGCGACATGAGGGTGCACTTGGGGAAGATGAAAGAGGAGGCCGCCGGCTCCTCCTAGAGCTCTATAATTATAGATAATATATCCCATTTCAAAGCAATTAGACCAATCAGGCGTAACGAACCACTTTGCTGCCGACGAATAACAAAGGCGCACGGTTATTTAAGCCTGGAGAAGTCGGGCAGACCCCGAGGCTCCGGGCCGCCCAAACCTCTCCATCCCGACTCTGCCCTCCCAGGGCCGGGAGGCGCCTGCCCCCGCCGGCAGGGGCCGCGCAGGCCTGTCTCAGTGCCCGCTGGGACCTGAAGGGGCAGGGTGCTGGGAGAGCCGGCGGCCGAGGGGGGGCCACTCCTTCTGGAGCTTCACAAATCTCAATCCTGATTGAATCCTCCACTTTGGGACATGGGCACTCTGCTCCACTCCCCTGCAGGGGTGCAGTGTCCTCCCCAGGCCACTGGGCCAGTCAGTGTGGGCAGGAGCAGAGCACCTGCACGCAGGGGCCAGGAGACCCCTCCACTGGTT